GACATATATCAAAAAAGAGTGTACTTTAATATATATGTTAAATATAAATTAAAAATTTCAAACATGTATATCTTCAATATGTGTATATTAAATATATAATTTTGGGAGCTTAGTAGTTTTAAATATATGTTTTAATATATTAGTATATGCATAAGTATAAATATTATTAAAAAAATCAAAGTATACTGAAAATAAAAAAAAAATAATAGTCAAATGAACTGACCCTTCTACTGGCGAATAATTGCCTCAGTGGGAAATTTACCCTCTCCACGACTCGTTCTGACTGTCAGGCAATTGAAATCGCCTTCAGCCTGTCACTTGAAGAAACCTCGGAGGGGGAGACTATCGAAGACGGTCATTTCAAGAAGTGCTGCCATAACATCATTCACGAAGGTGAAGATTTAGTGTAGGAATAGTAGAGAAGAAGGATTCGACTTAATTGTCATATACAAAAAGACATTTTACGACGCAGCCTGTGTTTCATTCCTTAGCTGTAAACAAGTCGAAAGTGAAACACGATGTTGGTTTTCCGACGTAAATCTATGAAACGAATGCCGGGGAGTTTCGCTGATGAGCGAACGGACCTAGCGGTACACCTCGACAGCGAACGATTTGTATGGGAGGTTCACAGACGATTCCGTTCGAGGATTCATGCGTGGGAAGCACAATGAACGTAGTCGCGATGGAAAAGCTGCCAGCTGCATAGATGTGGACAAAGAATTAACGACGCATTTTGTTCTGGTCAAGCTCAAAAGCCCGGACTGGGACAGTGCTAAAAATATGTATCGATATGTCGATATTCACGAGGTTTGGAACGTAGAGGCATGTCGAAGTGCGCAGGATTACCGGGAAAAGCACCGGCACCTCAACAGAGCGTACACATTCCTTTTCAGCACCACAACTGAACCTGGCCAGCTCAGAGACACTGCAGTACTTGTAAGCAAAAGAGAAAAAAAGAATGAGAGGAGTGAGCGAAGCCGCCGCAGGCAGTTTTGTCTTTTGACTGCTGCAGCTATTCCGCGCATTCCGGTCCTTGACATACAGTGACTAGTGCAGCAATACCCGATGTCAGGACGAAGGGCGCTTTGTGGACTTCTAACAACATGGGGATTTCTCGAATGGTGAGGTCGTTAAGGAGTGGCAAGAACGCTCAAGAAACTCTTAAAAAGAAATATCAAAACGGCCAACGCTTCGCGAAGTGCACAGCCGTTGAAAGGGGCAATTACTAAAACTCGGCTCGGCTCGGCTCGGCTCGGCACGGCTCGGCTCGGCTCGGCTCGGCT